GGAAAGAGGCATTTATTCTTAATAGTATTTTTACACTGTGACATATAATGTTTCATTTCTCTGCAAAAGCTCAATATTAATTGGTGATAGTTTTACCAGTGAATTAACTTCTTTATAAGCTCACAACTTCAAACAAAGGAAATATCTTTACTTTTCTTCCTTTGCTGTATTTATAAAATGATTGTAATGTATGTTTAGCTGTTCTTAATGGGTGGTTGCATGAAGAGGGAAGTTGACTAGTGCCCGAATTGTTATTGTTAGCTTTGTGGAATGTTTGCCTACCCCCTCTGCTCTTTTTGAAAGTGGAATATCTCAGCTAAAGCAGCAGAGCTAGTAACTTGAGTTTATTCATTAGGTGTGATGCACTCTAGGAATTACTCTTTAAAAAAAAAACCAAAACAAACCAATAGAAAACACCAACAGTATTGTTGGAAAAATCTTAAGCATATTTACAGTATTTATATAAGGTGTTTTTTTCCTCTCCTTTTTAGACCAACCTATGATGACATGCCACTACCTGTCACTCCAGAGGCTGCTAGGATTGCTTTCCTGTCCCCAGAAGAGATGGAGAAAAAGAGGAACAGAGACAGACAGGAGATTTCCAGCAAAGACCAGGAATCCGTTGGTGAAATATGCTCTTCTTCTCCATGCCTGTCTCATGAGGGCACAAAGACAACTTCTGTAAAACGAGCATTTATTCAAAAACCAGAAAGAGGGCAGGAACATGTTATAAGAATATCCCAGCAGTCTATGGGCATTTGTAGCAATGCGAACTGGGATACCATGAAAGATGCTCAAATTGTGAATCATAGCCATGAAGGCCAGTTTACAGCGGTGAGCCCTGCACCTCAGTGTTTTGCTGTCAGTCCTTTAATCCATAGTTCTTCTGTTAATCCTAAAATGGGAAAAAATGTTAGGAATTTGTCAGCATCAAATCTGCATAGTGGATGTGATAAAACAGGAATGGAGGCATGCAGTAGTGATATGGTACTGAACCCACGCTTGAATCCTGCTCCAGCACTGGTTCACCCAAAATGCCCTTCAGTTTCTCATCAGAATCCCATGTGCAGCCGTAGCAACTCTTTATGTATTACCTCAGGTCAGTCTCTCTCAAAACGAGATGGTTTACGAACTCAGGATGAAACTTCGGTGTCTGATTTTCATCTCAGGGATACTGTGGGTATCAGCAGCTCCCTAGATCTTGGGGCATCCCCACAACTAGCAAGATGCAAAAACATGAAGACAAACAGGGGTGATGAAAGGTCAGTGGATGAAACTATTGAAGATGTTATTTTTAAGTACTGCCATGGAACTACATCTGAAGAAATTTATTTCAAAGAAGAGAATAATCCCTGCTTAACTTTTTCATCACTTCTGGACAATACTCATTTAGAGGGTTCCGAAATGAGTTTTGACTGTGATGCACCTATTCAGGAAGGAACAGACTTACCCAAGGCAGCTATAAAAGATATAGAATTCCTAAAAGAGGTCCAAATAAGTTTGCAAGATAAACACTATGGAACGCAGCTCTCTTCTGTTTTAAAAAGTGAGCCAGTAGAGAAAAGAGAAGCAGTAAAACAGGAAGTCGTAGTTCATACTGAAGAACCAGTTCTTCCAGCTCTGCCTCATGTGCCTCCTTCTTTTGTGGGAAAGACTTGGTCTCAAATAATGTATGAAGATGATATAAAAATTGAAGAACTTGTGCGTGATTTCAGGGAAGGTCGTTTTCGCTGCTACTTTGACAGTGAATCCTCTGCCAACTGTACAGGGAAGAGAATGAAGAAAAAAAAGCAGAAGGATGAAAATAAGAACAATATTGTTGAGGGTAATAGAACAGAAAATGCATCAGTTAAAGCATTGCCAGAATTTAATGATGGTTTAAGTGGTGGTTGTGATTTTGATAACCCGTCTTTAGCCTCAGATACACTATGCAACCCACAAATTCTTAAAATGCCTAGGAAAAGGACATGGCGCCTGGCTTCAAGATGCCAGGTGGTTAAAGTCAGCCATGGCACCCAAACAAGTATATTGAACTACCCTGTAGCAAAAAGAAAAATGTCTAGAAGGGAATCTGATCCAGCTGATCAGAAAGCAAGCATTGTGTGGCCAGAGAATGAAAAAACTCCAAACATGAAAACTAGACTATGTGCCCTTAAACTTCCTGAGTCCTATAGCAAGATTATGAGTCCTGTACAGCCCAAGACAGTGGTGTATGTGCTTTCATGCCCAGAGATAAAACAGTGTAAAGGTAAACCTATAGATATGCCCAAAATGAGGAAAAATCGTAACTCCACAGATAGCAAGGACTCTGTAAGGTATAAATACAAACAGTGTTCTTTTAAGTATTATGACCCACTGACAAATCGAATCCTGAAAACGCCTCCAAAGAGTACAGTTGGAGAAAAGGCCAAAAAGCCCTCCCACGTTCGACAGCTTTTCAGAAGTCTCAGCTTGGATGCAAACATGAGGAAAGTGGCTGATGCACAGAGAGAAAGCACACCATCAAAGTCACTCAGTTGTTCAGACTTCTATAGTTCATCTTCAGCCTCTCTCCTGCCAGATCCAGGTAAAGGAAATGATGCAACCTCAAGTCAAAAGGCAGATGGATCTTCAGTTTCCACAGAAAGAACAGATTGTCTGGTGTCTGGCCGCTCTGAGAACTCATTTAAACACCTGATCATTTCACCTTTGAACTCGCACCAGTCTGCAGTAGAAGGAGATGGTAGATTAACTCCATATAACCGAGTTACCAAAACTCCTCTCACCTCCATCCGGAGTGAGCTGTTAGATAGGGAGAATCCAAAGGCAATATGGAAGAGAAAAGAAAGTACTAATAAAGAACCATTTTTTTCGAGAAAGGCTGCAGGACCTCTGTCTGTCAGATGTACTGTTGGGAGGAGAGGAAACAGAGTAACTGCAGGCAAACAAACTTCCAGATCTAAAAACCAGCAAAAAGAGGGGATGAGAAGGAACCTTCGTCCTCGTGCCCAGAAATCTGCTTTCTCTATCCATAGGCGGCAGACAAGGAAAACTACGGTAGGAAAGCACCTTAAGAAAGAAAAACCTGATGCTAAAAAATTAAAGGTGAGGAGGAGACCAAAAAGGACCTTTCTGAGCTCAACAGTTGTCACAGGGATTCCTGAGAAGAGGCAGAAACTCACATCGGAATCTTTTCCCAAGAAGCCAGAGCGAGCTTCTTCCAAAGTCAGGAACTTGGAAGTAAGTGGAGATCGGGGTCACCCTAGCACTGTGAACCGCCCCTCTAGAAGGACTTCTGCTGTACCGTTACTTAGAAACTGTTGTTCTACCAGGTGAGAGCTAGCTACCAAAAGAACTTTTTTTTTTTTCTTTTCTTTCTAGCCAGCACCTGGAAGACGATTGAGGGAAAGGAAAGAGAACAAAAGGAGGTCATAGCTGAAGCAGTTGAAGCACTAGAGCTGCAGAAAGTGCAAAGGCAGTCTAATGTGAAACAAGTACAACTGTAAACTCGGCTCTTGTTCCTGAAATATGGGGGCACGATGCATTGCACTGTTCCACTGTGTAAAGCTGCAGAAGTTGTGCATTTGAGTTAAAAAGCACTTAGAATCCTATTTACTAGACTTCACGTGTACATCAAAGAAATGAGCTTGAATAGTATCATATTGTTTTTATGGTATTATCAGTGCGTAATAGTGCACTATAATAAGGTAAATTAGAAGATGTATTTATTAATTGTGCCTATTCTCATTTTTTCACATAATTCTCAAGTGCAAAAAAGGACTTGGTTGCTATGCTAGAAATTCAATGAAGATACATTAATCTGGGCTGAATTCTGTGTGTATTTTGTGTTCGTGTATATGCACACCTCCTTCGACACATAATACATACTTGCCTATGGAGTGGCATTAAAATTAATACAGTATGATACAATTCAGATCAATTCAATGCTTTCTTGAAATGAAATATAATTGTACAAGTTTTTACATTGACTTTGTTTTGTTTTGTGAAACCATGTCCAAAGCAGTTATTTTGGACGAAAAGTCACTGTGGGCTTTCATCAAGCAATAATGGACCATGCTGGTAAGGAAATGTGTCTCTCTAGGACATTGTTCAAATGGTGGTGGCTAAAATGAAATCTCAGATTTCAAAAGAAATACAGGCTTAGGCTTTTTTTTTCCCTTTTAAAATAGCTTATTGATTAAGTTTATAAGTAAATTTCACATTCCTTAGTGGGGAGATGGAAAAGTTAGAATACAAACCAATAGCAGTGAGTTGTTCTAGAATTTCAACCTTAAGTTTGAATTTCTCTGCTGTTTTTCCTTTCATTGAGTGTACTGTTGGTTACATTTTTATGTACTGTAGTTCAAACTCTAATTTTTAACATTTGGTAAAATATTTAAATAAACTTCCATCTAAATGTATTAGAGTTCAAATATCTGTTTAAACAGATATTTAAATATATGTTTAAAAACATTTAGTTGAATTAAAATTATATTCCTTAGTGATTCTATGTTCAGACACTGATGCTCTAACTGCTGTGATTTTTATGACAAAAAATATTGTACGTTTTGGTTTAGTTGGGGTTTTTTAATAGTTATTATGATGACAGCTTATTTGATGCATTTAGAAGACCTAAATCCCAGTCTTGCAGATATTTCAATGCTTTAAAATCCAAGATTAATTGTTCATTTTTATGAAGTTAAGAACATAATTAAACATCACAATCAGGGCTCTGGTTTATAAATCTGCAGTTTGGTATAGACTATAATCTATCTTACTTCTAAAGGTCTCTGTAAATTCTATAGTTGTACAATACATCTTTCAGAACACAAGAAAAACATAGACCAGACCCTGTTCTTTTTGCCGTTGAGCATAGTATCCGTGTGTTTTCCCTTGGAAAAAAGAAAATAGTTTGTTGATTAATTTTCTGAAATGTCAAGCGGCACTGGTTTGGATTGAGATAAAGGTGGACTTTGTAATGTTATATTTTTAATACACAGTATCTGGAGGAAAGATAAAAGCTGTCACCATAAACTCCTTGTTCAAAAAATACTTTGGGGGTTTTTTTAAATGTATGTGCATATTTCCAGGATAAATAAAAGATGCACACATGCTTAAGCCACCCAGAAACTAAGTTCTTCTACAAATCAAATATAGTCTGACAGACTTTTTTTTTAATTTATTTTATTTTTGAAATATTGATTTCTATGGATGAATTTTCCTATGGTTGCCAGTAGGTACAGAATCTTACGACCATATTGCAAGTCACTGGAAAGTGAAGGGTTATAATATGAGTTCTTATAGCCCTCTTAACTCATTGTGCCTGTATAATTTAATATTTTGTCTAATGTAAAACAGATTTTTTTAAAGCAAAGTTTTAAAGGAATGGTTTTTATAGAAAGGCTAATTTTTAGATAAAAGATTTTTAAATAAAGTTTGTTTTAAAGCAAAGCTTTAAATTAACTCTGTAGATAAGTCCCATTCTAATGTATTTTTATGATACAAGAATGTTTTCCTATCTCGCTGCTTCCATCTTACTTTTCACAGTATTGTACACATGAAGAGCATTAATTGTTTTCTGTGTGAATAAGGTTTGATGCACACTGTAATTTAAGATCACTAGTTCATATTTGTTTACAGCCAAAAATACTGTTCTCCATACTCATTCATTGCAAGCTTGTGTTTCTCCAGCACATAACTTTTCCTTGAAACCTTGAGTAATAAAATTATCTTGAGGACTATAGAATGACTAATCTTTTTAGCCTGTAATGTCTTTTTTTTTTGTAAATAATAGACCCCCCTGTCTGGGAGGTTTTTTTAAAAAGAAAAATATATTATATTTAAATAAAAGTGTACGTAGCTATATATTTTCCTTAAAAAAATTCCACAAAACCCCCAAGCAATAAGAAGTATAAAATGTAATAATTAAAAAAAAACCAAAACTGACTTGGGGTACAAGTCTGGAAACATTCCTGCAGTTGTCAGTGTCAAAATACGATTGACTGTAAGCTTGGATCTTATTCTGTGCTTCACTTCTGACTTTTAGAAACCTCTTCTGTGCATGCTCAATGACTACTAGGAAAAAGATAGGAGATTGTGGTATGAGAAGTAAATGTAGAAACTGCTTTGGAAAGAGAATTGATGAAGATAAGTGCAAAACATTAAAAATTGCAGAGACACTCAAAATATCATGTGCATAAAGGAGAAAAGAGAAGTTTTCTGGAGCCTTGAGGAATTAGTCAAACACTTCCCGGTTAGAGAAATGATACCGATTCTGCTGCCTTTATTGGACAGTGTGTTGTTTCATTAACAGTGTGGCTGAAACTTCGAGACATGATTGTGAAGTCTACACCAATGGAAAAATTCAGAGCTGAAATACTCTCTGCAATTGGTAGGAGGGTTGGTTGGTTTGGGCTGGGGTGGGTTTATTTTTTGGTTTTGTTTTTTTTTTTAATAGTGGGCAAAGATGTTTGTCAGTGTGTTTGCATGTCTTCATCTAGAGAGGAAATAAAAGGTAACAGGAAAAGTCATGCTCTTTGAACGTACTTTGCAGCAGTTAAATGCAGGATATTTTATAATAGTTGAGACGAATGTTATAATTTCTTCTTCTGTGCATATGTAATTTTGACCTTCTGCAAGTTCATACTTTTTTTACAGAGTTCATAATTTAAAAAGATTCTCTTCCCCTGCAAAGTACTCAGCCTTTTAAAACAATCTTACTCTGAGCAGCTTGATTTTTATTATTTACTTGTATTGTGAACTTTGAGTGATACTGTGCCAGGTGCTAACCAAGGTTTTGGGGACTAGCAAGTCCCCAAAACTTTCAATGTCTGCCACTCACACCTAGCAGGTCTTCAGTTCCTTTTCTGATAGGTTTTTTGCTTTCTAGTTATTTCTGAGTTTGCATCCAATGTTCTTATAATTGTTGTATGAAAGTGCTCCTCTCTAGAACTTGGATAAAATGAGGTGTTTAGTTGTATTTATGAGACTGTGACTCTGAAGTTGTGTTTAAGTTTCATGCTGAAATTGTGCCCAAGTGAGAATACATGTTTCTGTGGTTTTCATGTTCTTGTAATTGGTAATGTATTTTGCAATGCTTTTGCATGATGCTGTAGTTTTTTATCTGCTTCTCTGTCTCTGCTGTCTCTGGTCATTTGATACAATTTGAGTTTGTAAGAATACCGTGATATTACAAACTTGTCCAGTGCTCTTGCTGGATGTTCTTTCTTTGTATCTTCAGCTCATTTAATTTAAGATTTATTGTTTCCATGGTTTTCCTCAGTCATGCTTTGGATTTTTTTTTGTGTTGTGAAAAGCTAAGTCACAGGATGAGATACTCTGTTTGGAAGTAAATCAGTGGCAAGTAGTAGAAATGGATGGCATCCTGACCTGAAGTGCAGAGGACAAGCTGGTATCTGTGCTCCTGTGCTTGGGAGTTCGCTTCACTTCACCAAGTAGTGCAAAACAGGTGGGATGATGATTCTCAGCTCCTTTAGCTGTCTTCCTTTCTTTTTCTAGGCTAACTCTGCCTGAAAATAGAGTAATCTGAATTCATACTTCCTCTGAAATTGAACAGTGTTTCAACTGTTGATGTTTTGGGAACAAATTAGAAAAGTAAAATGTATCTCACTTGCTAATGCAATTAAAATCACAGAATTTTTGTCTTTAAAGATTTATCTGCTATGAATTACAGAATTCCTGATATTCTTCAGAAAACTTCGTAGTAGCATAGGTCTGAGCATGCCCAGAAGCAAAGGTTTTGTTCCTTGTTTGATTATGTTTTGCAGTTATGAATTTATTCATTCTTTCAGCAGAACAAATCTTGTTTTAATAAAATAAAGACTGCATTTGTGGGTCTGTGCTTTCTTTATTCTTGAGGTGGGATTTAACTTGATTAATCAACTTAATTAGCTATCATTTTGGAAAGAACATCATTGTGGAAAGAACACAGAATGCTGTGGCATAAGTTGCTACTTTGAAGAAGGCCCATCATGGTTTAAACAGCTGTTCACAGTTGTATGATATCTTCACCCAATGAAGTCTTCTGTTGACTTCAGTGAAGCTAAGATTCATCCCATCCTGCGGCAACTGAAGCAATGACATCTTAGGATGGCATTGAAAAAGCGTTGGATGTATTTTAGATGTCTGGTTGCATTTTGGCAGCAGGAAACCAAGAAGCACCAATCACATGGCAAGTTCTCTGCAGAACTTACAAACAGTTTTTTTCAGAATGTGACTTAATAAATGAGGGCAGGGGCTGGAAGTGTAATGTTAGGTAGCTTTCTACTTTATGCAAAATGAATTGGCTTCTCTAATCATAGACCAAAAAAATTCTTGTTATGATCTTAACAATGCATGCAGAAGTCTTCAAAGCTGTGTGCAAAAATACTTCTGTGAGATTTTTGTAGTAGTCTGTTTATCAGAAAACCCTGAACAGTGGAGTACCCTGTGCAGAATACCTTGTTCTTTAAAATCAGTAGTCATTTGCTGTTTGTAACAGTACCAGTAAAAACCAGCATGGGCTTTTGCAGGAGCGATGCACACAGATGTGTCAGTTTGGACCAACGAATGACTGAAAGGCATAGCCATATGTGGCTACCAGCAGATTTCTTTATACACTGAAAGGAGGTGTTAAAGTTCTGATCTAATGATGAATAATCAATCAGTTGCACAAATGATGATGGAAACACTTGTGCTTTTTGATTTAATGGCGTTAGACTCAATCTTCATACAATTAAAAAGAGACATACTGATTTCTTTTTTTTTGGTAACAGATATTTTATGGATTTCCAAAGGTGTCCAATACTTTAATTTTTTCAGTCTGTTCTAGCAAATTGTAATTTCCTGAGTTTTTGCCAACACACGGTATTTCTGATTGAATCAGGGATCAGGATAATGTTGGAGTCAAAGTCAGCATATTTTCACCTACCACAATTAGTTAATGTTCATACAGCAGTTTTTGTGGGTGTAAAGGACTCTTAAGTGTTCAATATTACCAAGAATTATCTTTTAGTCTTCTTATTTTAGATGTTAGTGTTCAATGGTTTTTGTGAAATGCATTGGTAAGCATGATATTTTTTTCTTTCTAGAGCTTGAAGGAGAACACACTAATGAAACTTTACATATTTTTATTTCCAACTTTATAAAGACTGTTAACTTTTTCCTATGCTTAGCAATTTTCTTTCTCCCTCACACTTCTCCATTTTAAAATAACTGCATTGCAGATGAATTCTTCTCCATCTTCATTTTCTCAGAGTAGGGTGTCATGACTGTCATTTGGTTGTATAATGAATATAGTTTTATGTAATTATGTAGTTATTGTCTATGCCTTTATAGACATCTCTGCCTTTTCACAGCAGCTGTAAAGGGGGAGCCAAGCATCCACACCTGTCAGTCTCTAGTCCTTGGGTCTTGCTTTATTGCCTACCACATACTTTTCAAGCTCCCTAGTGCAGCAGCCAGTGGGTCAACTCTTCTAATTTTCTTTATTTCCTTTAACTCTTCCAATTATGTTGAAAAACTAATTTTTTAAATTGCAGGAAAAAATGGGTTGAAAGTCCATTTTCAACCAATTTTTCCCCTAGGAGAGTCACAGTCTAGTGCATGTGTGGGAAAGCAACAAAAATCTGACAGTTGTATTTTGGCAAGCCTTGGTTTCCCACCGTCTCCTCTAAACTCAGAGAACCACAGTAAGGGCAGGCATCCCTGGACACTGTCTCATCGAAACCCCTGCTCAGAGCCTGGAGTAGGCTGTTCAGGGCCACATCCCATGAAATTTTGGGTATCTCTGCTCTCTGGGCAACCTGTGTCGGTGACTTACCACTCTTGCAGTTTTTATTTCTATGTTTAGATGAAGTTTTCTGTATTTCACTTTGTACTCAGTACTTCTTGTCCTTTCACCGTGCAGTGCCGAGATGAGTCTGTTTGCCCGCTGGCGGCTGGACCACTGCGCATGCTGTACATCCCCCGGTGAGCTGGCATGGTCTGCTGGGAAGAGCTGGCACTGAAATCCTCACCCAGCCGTGCCAGGGGAGGTTCTCAAGTGGGGAGATCAGCCCATCAAGGCGAAGGTGGCTGTGACAAACAGCTGTGCCAATGAGGACCAGTGCAGGCTTTGGTTTTCTTGTGGTCTACCTGGCTTCTGTGGCAAAATGAGTCCTCAACTTCCTAAGGCTTAACCCTCCATTCTTTTTATCCTACGAGAGTTAAGGGCTTTTTTTTTCCCAATGGAAGATTTTTCCTTAGTTCTTTCTTGAGTATTTCAAGTTATAGGGGTTTGCTGACTGCAAATCTGAAACTTTATAGTTGTTTGCTGCAATTGTAAATTTGTTACATGTCTATACAGTCCTTGCTTATGTTCTTTTCATGTGTTTTTTTTCTTCTTTGCTTTTAGCTCTGTTTGTTGTTTCTTGAGATCTTTTTATTGGTTTCTTTTGCTTTGTGTCCAGTATTTTGTTCTAATTGGCTTAGCATTAATTTGATTTAATATTTTACAAATGTAGTATTCATGGTAACTTGCCGTGGCTTTTTTCTTCTGGGCTTGTCTGGGCTGTGAGGTTTTTATTGTTGCTTTTGTTATCAGGTGTTGGAATGAACTGCCCAGGGAAGTGGTGGAGTCACCATCCCTGGAAGTACTTAAAAGAGGAGTAGATGAGGTGCTTAGAGACATGGTTTAATACTGGACAGGTTATGTTTGGACTTAATGATCTTAAAGGTCTTTTCCAACCAAATGATTCTATGATTCTCTCTGAATGAATCCGAGCTCCATTGTCACCAGTTTGTATGAGCCTTACTAAATTCTTGAATTACATCTGAAGAGGGGGGAAAGACTGAGCTTGCAAATCACCCAGACTCTTCTGGAAATTTTATGTAAAGTATTTAAGTTGTAGTGGGTTGTTTGGGGTGTTTTGTTTTTTTGGTTTTGTTTTGAGGTTTTTATTTGTTTGTTTATTTTGGTTGATTGGTTTTGGTGGTTTTTTTTGTTTTAACTTTTCTTGTCCAGCACTGTTTTAAAGAGCTACATTGTGCTTTTATTAGTGTCTTGACAGTCAAAATGCTCAAGCTGTAAGTGGATTTGAAAGGACTGAGTGGTGAAATTCAAGCACAAGTTGACTCTTGTTTTTAGTTTTCATTTTCATGTTTCTAACACTTAGAAGTAACGAGAGCTATCACTTATATCCCAGTCCCAGGTTTGTACTTTCAAGGAAGGAAAATTTTATTTCTAAATTATGAACTCTGATGGTATTCCTATGCTAAGGGTGGATGCTTGTGTCGGGAAAGGTTGTGGTGGTTTTTATTTTTATTTAAAATAAATGTTTAAACTTAGTGCGCTTGATGTAAGTGAAGGTCATGTAGCATCTCTGAAGTCTAGAGATCATTTTGTAAGCAGTGTATGGAAGGATACCTGCTCTTTTTCAGCCTTAACGCACAGAATATTTCTCTTGTGATTGCAATATACATGTGTCTACTACACTGAAAATTAACAAAGAAGTATTAAGTAAAGGAGCAGGAAACAATGGTTTTGATTTTTAAAAAATGTTGCATATAGCATAAAAGGTCTTTATGGCATTCACTGTGTGATATCAAGGTTTTATCCATCCATGTTTGTGCATGCACTGGGTTTATTTGTCAGCTAGAAAGTGTTTCACTGAAAGATGGGTCTGAAACAAGTTATTATGTTGAAGTAACAGATTTTGGAAAACTTGGATGTGAATCATAATTTTGCAGTTTGAATAGATAAATTTAGTAAATACAAAATAAAATTTAGAATTGCTATATCTGCTCTACTCGAGGGCAATAGGGCATCAATCCAGTAAATTAGAGCTCAAATCATCTAAGAGAAAATCAGCAAGCTTCCGTTAGTTCAAGAGGACCTATTTCTGAGCTTCAGCTGAAATCCTTATGGTTTTGTGCTATTTCAGAGCCAGAATGCTGCAGGTATAGCAGAATATTCATCTGCATGGTTGGGCTGAAATCAGCTGATGTCAATGCAAAAACCTCCAGTGACAGAGATGAGCCTGGATCAGGCCCTAAACAGGATGTGATGTGCTGTGCTATGGGGTGTTCATTCCAGTAGTCACACTTCGAGAATATTTGTGCCATTCATTCTACTTAAATTTATGAATTATTTTGCTATACAGTTGTCAATAGTGAAAAGGATTTACAACTACAGGAAACAATAATTTTCATGTGATTTTACCTGCTTTGTATCAAATCACTCAAGCAGCTTAGTTGTATTAGAGTTTCTTACCTGCTGCTTCCAATTCAAGATCTATTTGGCTTGATTTTCTTCAATGGCTTACATGCTGGATAACATAAAAGCAAAGACCGCTTCCTATCACTCTGCCTCAAGCCAAAATTCTTCCTGTGTTCTTAACTGGTGTTTTGATAGCATGTATCACAACACAGGCGGCTGCACAGCTAGGCTGCTAGTGCATGCTCCTCTCCCAGCTGCGCAGCTGCCTCAGGCAAGCTAACTATAGCTTTGTTTTTGTCAGTGTTATGTCAAAGCCATCTATTTATAAACCAAATCAGAAAATGCCTTGGAACTGTAATTTTTCTTTCAGGCATCACTTTCAGCTAGCCAGAAGCTCAGTATTCCATATTCATAGATTTTGTTATAAAATTTAACTTGCCTGAAGGAGAAAAGTAATATATCAAACAAAAGGAAAAGAACTCTGTAAAATTATTAAAATTTTGAAATATAGATATCAGTCATAAAACATTTTAAAATATTTTATACCTTTACCTGCAAGATGAAATGTGAAGGATGTGGGGGTGCACTAACCAAATAAAGAAAACACGTATTTATTTTTTAGATTTTCCAGAATCTACAATTAGTAGTTATCCTTACAATTTTTTATTAATAATAAACTGGTATTTTGCTTGTTTTAAAGGTTGGAAAAGTGAGGTAAGATGCTTAAGAGAAACATTCTAAACTTGTCCACTAGTTTTGACCTTATTCAATTTTAAACCTAGATGCACACTGACTAACTTCTAAATGTTTGAATGGCCTGGATGTTGGTTCGAGTCTTTACTAAATATTTATGAGGATCAGGCCCTAGGTAACCTGAAACAAATATCAATAAAAATGGCATTCAACATAAATGGAGATCCTTGATAATGTGATGATAATCAATCTTCCAGAATTCACTAAAGAAACACAAACCCTCCTATTCTTTCTGATTTTCAGATCACTATATTATATTGCAGAGGCCCAACTTTTCTACTGACTTTGTTGGGGCCTGGGCGAGTTGGTGGAGTTTAGATCTTGATCATATGGGCCAAACCACATTAAATTTCTGTGGAGCAATATTTTACTCTGTAAGTAGCCAGCCTTCTCTCAGTGGAGCCATCGTCTAAACATGAGAGCAGAGAGCTCAAGGAAAAATAGCCTATAATTTTCCATAGGTAGGTGATGTTAGCAGTCTACACAAATTACTTTGGAAGTGTTTATTAACTAATAGACCTCTCTCACGGATTAATCTCCAATAACTAAGCACTTCCTTTAAATATAAACAGCTCTGTGCCACTTTTAGAACACTCAGATTACTTTGTTAAATTATTAACCAGTTTTTATCATCAGTAGGAGAGTTTTTATAGAAATGAGAACAGGATCTTACTCACTGGTTATTTTTAAAATGTGCTAGTGTGAAGGCTTGTACTTGTGACAAGGTCCATGAAGCATAACAGAGTTGTTGTATGGATTTTAAAGGAATTACAGAATTTAGAGATAGGAAAAAAAAATCTTTTTAGGTGTAAAGCTCCATCCAGGTTTGGGCCTTACAGTGGATTTTATGTTCTGCTTCTAATATCAGTGGATGCTGTTCAGCAGCTCTTGGTAAGTTTTTATCATATGTCAGGATCCAGCTACTATACTATGAATATTGAAGCAAGAGGAAAGCTGGTATTTAAGGCTTAATTTACTGGCAAGCATTTTCTGCCTTGACTTGAGACATGGGATGGTAGTAGGCTACCATGTCGTCTTCTCTCTTCTCCTGCTTCTTCTACTATTTGCACTAGGGGCTGCAGGTCCTATTTTGCTTGAAGGCCTGACAGAAGGAAAGTCCACGTGTAGGGGTATAGCTGGTGGATTGGTCTGGATTAAATATTTGGAAGTCCATACTCCCAAGCTCTCCATGATTTGCCTGCAGGATACCAATGTACCTGCAACCTAGCAATTCCAAATTCTAGGCAAGTGGAATGGGGTCAGGCATGGAGAAGTCTCTCTAATGATGCCTGCCAACTTCAGAGCAGCTCAGCTTCTGGAGAGGAGAGATGCAGGCTTTTCCAGAGCTGGAGCTCTCTCCTCCTTGGTAGGCAACTGAAAACAAAACAATTTCTTTTGCTTCAGGCTGCAATGAAGCATAATGCAAGAATACATCAAAATCCACCAGAAAATTGAATTACCTTTCTGCAGAGTAAAACTTCTTTGTTGTTGTAACTGAAAATACTTTGGTGAAGGATGGTGTAACAAATGAGAGTTGATAGAGGACAGGTGTCTTCCTCCTAGGCCCTACAGCATCACTTTATCCAAATAAATTTCCAAGTCTCTGTTTTAAATCTCACACTCCTGCTCCCATTTTCCTATTCAGTCAGTTAATCACGTAAGTATTTGCTGAGCAAGTATGGATGTCATGAAGGTGATTTGTGAAATCTCTGAGAACTTGCATTATGTGGCCATTTTTTCCTACAAGTGTCAGTGTGCTCAAAGTTAAAATTTAAGATTCAGTAACATCACTGTCTGCATCTTGTTATGCTGTGGTGCATTTCTACTTCTCCTTTTTGCACTATGCAAAACCAGATTTTATTTACCATGGAAAAATACTGATTTCAGAGTTGTATATGGATATATGCTTTGTGCAGTTTATATAGCAAAATGCTCTTTGACATTGGCAAGGCATATTCAGCAGATGGCTGGGGAGAGTCTAATCCTCTCCCTCCTGGCACTAATTACTATGTGCCTTGAG